GCAACATGGGGTGTCGAATTATTGACAGAAGGGGTGTCGTAATTCGGAGAGTGGCACTTTTTGATGTGGGGAAATTCGACACCTTTTGAGCACATATTTAATCAGTTTAAAGCAATAAAATCTATCAAATTTTGTTGAATACAGCAATTTCAATCATTTAATATTCATTTAGTACATTCATTTATCACATACAGCCTTTTAGACAAGAAATAGGGTTTACTCACCTTGTGATATTGCTGCTTTAGAAACACGGAGCCTGAAAACGTTTGAAATTGGACGCGCGAAAGAGCGGTGTCACTTCTTGTGGGTTTATGGGAAAAATATTACACCTATATTTTTAGAAATTACGCACATCGTTAAAAGAAGATAGTTCGGCTGCCGGTTAAAAATAGACCCGCGCGCATAAGTTGTAGTATTTCCGCACCGTTCGTTGTTTTTGGAGTGCACCCCACGAGGGGTGTCGGAATAGCACACAGTGTCGGAATATACACCCTCTACCCTATGTTTAATCGCATGTAGATGCACTAGCACTGTTTTAGGGGAAAGACTTCCATAATGAACGACCACCCCAGCAAATACAATAAAGAAGAGACCTGTCTCTAACCCTACCCCAACCCTTACCTTTACCCTTACCCCTACCCTACACCTACTCCAAGCCCTAACCCAACCCCTTCCCCGCACCCTAACCCTACTCCAAACCCTAACACCCTCTGTTTCATAGTGGTCGTTCATTACGGAATTCCTCCCGTTTTAGGGGGTACATACTGCCATAATTTTTGCTGCAGAACACACATATGGCCACTAAAACTCCTTACTTACATCTGATTCTTCTTCAGAGAGATCTTCAAAATAATCAGTAATGACCTGTGTAGTAAACATGGTTTTCCTGTGTTTTTAACCCAGGTGGGTTGGTTTAGGGACACGGTCTCGCTCACCTCTGTACCGGTGGCTTGGCATATGGGCAGTTTTACGCGCCACCGGTGTAACGGTTGTGAGGGCTCAAAAGGTTATGAGACTTTATACATTTTCATACCATCCACTTGCATGCATTTCCAAGCGATGCGTGAATGAAATACTACCTATGTCTCTACCGGGATGATCCCCACGGCCTCACCGAATTACCAAATCGTACACTAGAGTGGGTGATATCACACAGGTTGGCAAGTTGGGCAGGAGGCTAGACTGTTGGTCAGTTATTTCCCCAGCAGTAAATCATAGGGGTAGACATAGGTTTCTGCAGATTCTAGCTATAGGTGGTTGGTGGGTGCTCTAGTGTGGTTTTCTCCTTTCCTATCAAACATCTATTGTCCTCATCTCTCCATCTTTTTTTTTGTGTTTGTTACTCTTTTGTTTTTTGTTTTTGTAAAGTGTTTTACGGTGCTCGCATCTGCATAAGGTCATATGAGCGCGCGGGACACACCTTATATTTTCAGTTGTTAGGAAATTTTGAATTTTGCCCAGGTGGCGGCAGAAGCCTACTCTTATCGATTTTAGACCACCAAGGGATCTTTAACGTGCGCAACTTGCACACGGGCCCTCCGAGATTTTTCGCCCTTGTCCGAGAAGGCTAGGTGTAGATCTTTCTTACCAGAAGATCAGGGGTGTGGCAGAAAGACAGCAGTAAGGAGGAGCCAAGGAGCAGCAGTAGAAAGGCTGCAGAAAGAGTCAGGAGCCCAGAGGAGGGGGCAAAGGAGGTGAGGGGGTGGGGGCAGAAAGTGGAAATGAAAGCAGACAACAGAACTTTGCAAGAGAGCAGGAAAGGAGGTGAAAGGAGACAATTTTAGAGAAGAAAATTTTTTGGTCGCTACCTGGATTCGAACCCGGGACCTTTTTAATGAGAGGCCAACACCTTAACCTCTAGGCCACGAGAGCCCCGGTTTGTTACTCTAACTTCAGCACTTATATGATCTTATTGTGTTGCAAGTGCTGTAAAACTCTTACTAAAACTTAAAAAAACTGTAGCAGTACTGATTTGCCACAGCTGAAACCCTGCCTGCAGCATGCTAAGCCTAACTGTCAGCATCTTGCATATTTGGAAGAGCCTGCAGTCAGTGCCAGGACACATGTTTTATAAATCAGGTAAGTATAGGTAAGCGCAGATGTTGAATTTTATCAAAGGTCAAAAGGGATAACCAATGACTGATATGCACATTTCACAATATTTAGACCATGCATGATGAATGTGTGACACTAATTGTAGGCTTACTGTAATAAATTATCACCAACGATGAAAATCCTGGAAGAAAACTTTGATAGAGTGTTGTTACTTGAACAGAAACTAATGTTTAACACTAACCTTTTGTTTGCCTGCGTTTACAACAGGGGTTAGCCAAACCTGTTTCTCTCCGGATGGTGATCCTTTCCTCAGCGATGGGGCCCTGATGCGTTGGAATCTCACATACAACACAGAAATAAACTGAGGCTCTAACTAGCCTTTTCTCCACCCGAAATCTCAGCAGGCCTCCTCTGCCTTACTACAGCTCTCCCCTCTGAAGTCTGACCTGTAGTAATCCAGACTGCTTTTATACACTTGCACCAAACAATACTAACTGAAATGAGACTCACACTTTACTCACTCACTCTCACACTTTCAGTCAAACAATACAATAGGCTAGGCCTAACCCCCTGCCACTGACCAACACGCCTCATTGCAAATTAAACCACCAAATAGACCACACGCCCCCTCCCCCCCCCCCGATCTGAAGATCATAAATCTCAATAAATACCTGAAAGAAAGAAAACAAATTAAGCGGCACTAATACCCCACTTAAGAACTGCAACAAGAGAATTCAAACATCAAACACTATATATACATCTCAAATCAGCAGCTTCCACCCACTGCTACCTAACCACATAATCCTCCTGCCACTCTGGTACTTTTCTAACTCACTGGGGATACCTCGGTGGGGATGCCTCATCAATCACCACACGGTGCTGATCGCTCTCTGCATCATCTTCGTCTGGAGTTGCCACCTTCTTCAAGTCTAAAAAGTGCCTTGGCACATGGTTCACTTCTACGTTGTTTCGGGAGTTAACCCTTGTCACCACACCACGACCCCATTGCATGGTGTATCGTGCACCGAGTGGTTTAACCCACACTTCATCCCCAACCGTCACGGCAGATGGCTCGTTTATTTCCCCCCATTCCCTCTCTGTCTCTGATGGCTGCCTCCACTTATACGTAAACACTGATTGCTGAGGGATTGTGTCCTGTTCTTGTCTATACCGTGGTGCACTGTTAAAGTAGAAGACCGCCTCCATAGGGGAAATATTCCCACGTTCTGCCATGGCCTTAATGGACCGATGATTCCATTCAACAATACCATTCCCACTAGGTCTATATGCTGCTCTGTAGTAAGGTTGCACATCCCATCCCTCAAGAAATTGAACAAACAATTCTGATTTAAAGGCTGTTGCGTTATCCAAAAGAAGTTCCCTAACTGGACCCCGTTAGCAAAATACCTGATCCAACTCCGCCACTATACACTGCACTGTTTCACTTCTGAGTTGCCGCCAAATGGTGAACCTCCCAGGACCACAGTCCACCATAGTAAAGTAAGGTATATTGGGAAAATGAGTAATGTCCACTGCATGCCTCTCCCAGACTGTGCTAACCTCCAAACCCCCAGTTTCGTGTTGTAATGGAGCAGGGTCTATCGACTGACATCTCTCATAATTCTTCACAGCTGATTTCACTTGCTCCTTTGTTATTGTCGGATCAACTTCCTTGGCCAGATACCATGACCGTTCAACCCCCATGTGGTGCTGGTTATGCAGATCCATGACAACGGTACTTGTAGCAGCGCTGATCGCAGCTCTCTTCTTACTCATTTCTGGTTTGCTGGTTTGAGCCAACCACTCTTTCTTTACTCTTGTTAAAGAGTCAGCCTTGTTGTCCTTTGAAGGCACGAGTCGGACCTGGACTGTTATCCCTAATTCCTCTATGAGTGTCTTCAGTGTCCCAAATCTCTGCCGCGCAACATGTTCTCACACGTTTCTCCTCCGACATCGTCAACCGGATCCACCCACTAACGGTTGCTGAATCTGTGACCACTGTAATTGTCTCCAGACCCTACTTAATCCCTAGATTGACACCCTTCAACATGGCCGCCAGTTCCGTCACATTAATGTGATGATAATCATCATTCTTCCTCATCCAGGCCCCATCCTCAACAATGACACCATCAATTTCCACCACGATTCCCATGCCCAAGCTGCTGGCGTCACATCACACCACCCCTTCCTTCGCTGACCTAACTCCCCACCTACCTCGCACCGAATCTTCCTTTTGAATGCAATCAACTACCTTTTCAATCATCAGCTGGGCTCTGTCGCCAATGTAATCATTCCACTTATCCCCTTCTGAATGCCGTTTGATAAAACTGCAGGCTATCCGCAGCCAGCCAGCCACCGGATAGTGACCCACCAGTTTTCCACAGATTGAGAAAAGCTCCCTCTTACTTAGTATGCAGCCCACCACTGGAACGTCACTGTTTCGTCCAAATACCAGCATCCCATCTGCGCCTCGTGAGAGCTTCAGACCCAACGCTGCTCCCCCCTCTAGCTCCATGGCCGGCTTTGCCAGTAACCCATATCTCGCCAAATGCGAAATTACTTCTCCTGCTCTCAGCTGCGACACGTCCACAAGAATGTCGTCAATATAAGAGCCAGTGGCTCTATCTATCCGAGGAGACTGTTCCAACACCGTCTTTAACACCTTTATCATGATTCTTGGAATGGAATTCAGGCGGAATCCTACCCTTGTCAACAATAAATTCTCCCCTTGTACTGCACCAACTGATGCTTCCAGAGATCTGGACTGACACGAAGTTGTAAGTATGCAGCGCTAAGGTCAACAATCTCTGGCTCCCCTTCAATCTTCCGCCACTCTCGCATCCTGTCTGCACAAACATCAATAAGTTCATCTCCTATCTGGCACTCTACATACTTGTTCAGCTCACAGAAATCTAGGACTGGCCGAACTTTGTTTTCATAGGCTGCTCGACCACCATCAATTAGGGATAACAGTCCAGGTCCGACTCGTGCCTTCAAAGGACAACAAGGCTGACTCTTTAGTAATCCAGACTGCTTTTATACACTTGCACCAAACGATACAACTGAACTGAGACTCACACTTTACTCACTCACTCTCACACTTTCCCAAACAATACAATAGGCTAGGCCTAACCCCCTGCCACTGACCAACATGCCACACTGCATATTAAACAACCAAATAGACCACATATAGAGTTACATTTCAGATCAGTGGGAGATTTTTAGTTCAGTGTTTAGCAACAACTTGATCAACAGTACATGCAAACAAATGAAAATACATGAGCGACAGCAGTGTGGTGGCCACCTAACTTGGTTCAAAGTACTCTCAGTAAGTCTCAGCGCTGTAGTCTCCACTATCTCTGCTTTTTCTCTCTCAAAACTCACTACGCTTAGATGTGCCTGGATTCAGACATCAAAGGAAGCATTTACTTTTGGCTCAATACTTCTAAACTCTCAGAAAAATTATGTGGATAACTTTGTGTGAGAACAGATTATCTAAATTTTCCTTTCAGAAATCCTAACCCTGATTGATACCACTAATTTGTGATCACTAAAAGATATTGATAGTACAGCCCCTACTGCATTGTTTTATCAATGTATTTTAGTTTTGGCAAGAGTTTTACGGCACTTGCAGCACAAAAAGGTAATACATGCAGGTAATCTATGCTTCTGTTGTTCCTCTTACAATCATCATCTTTTTATTAGCTAAAATTTGTTACCATCAGTTAGCTCTTAATATAAATATTATATTCTCATTGGCTGAGCTGTCCTAAGCTTCATAATGACCCCTGATGTGGAGCAGTCTGTGATGTTATGTATGATATAAAATGCAGTCTTGTATACAGGCTTTACATGTACTCATTTGCCTTTTCTGTGGTTTACTTCAAGCAATGAAAATTATTGCAATATCATTTTCAAAGATCTTATTGTCTGAATGCTGTTTAAAGTACATAACCGAGAAATTAAGGTAGGTAAATGTGTTTACATCGTGCACAAGCATGTGTATGTTATTTATGTGCGAATACAAGAGAATAACATTCCGAGAGCTTTATGGTAGCAAGAGAAACGTCACTTCCTCTTTCCAGCCTCTGCCTCTGTGGACATGGAGAGTCGATATGTCAGTGCCATGGTTCTCAGCGGAGTGGGAGATGCTATTGGCTACAAGGACGGGGAGTGGGAGTTCTGCCACAACGGTTCCAGAATCTTTGCACAGCTCCAGTCACTGGGCGGGCTGGACAAAATAGTAGTCAAGCGTAAGTAGATTTACATGTGCGTATGTGTACATTTATTTTGGCTTTTCATCAGGAATTTCAGATAAATTGGAAATCAGCAGTATATCTTCAACCGCGGCGATTAGACCCATTGAACGGTATATTTTGAAAGGTCTTTGAGTTCTTCAGCGGAAACAGGTACAAAAGCATAACAAAAATTTGTAATTTGTGAGGGTGTGAAAATTGGTCCTGTCAATCTGCCAGCAGACCCGAGGACTGAGGACGGTCTTATTGCCCTCTGACAGAGCTGGGGTTGATAAAGTTTTCTAAGAGAAACCAAGCAGAAAAATGAGTGGTAAACCACTATCGCTGACTTGTGTTTGAAATCTGGCACTTTAAAGAAAAAAGGCAGTACAAAATTGTGGAGAAGAGGAAGTAGAGTCTGTGTGTACATATGTGCATTTGCTTTTGCTGCACCTCCTTGTCTGCTGATTTGATTAGGGTCAGTGAATATGGGTATCCTCATTTACTCATGTTTTTTTTTCAACGTTACTGAAAAGCAATTAAGTTCTGCTTGTGGTTGGTTGATGGGTGCCAAGGTGTGAATTGCTTTCTTCTTTTATATTCATGTTACTCTCTAGTAACACCTTTAATCTTCGGCATTCCTCTTACCCAACTGTGATTCAAGTGCCTTAAAACTCTTACAAAAACTTAATAACTAAATTCTGCTTTGGCTTTCCACTCTTCACCCGAGTCGGATTGCCTTCCATAAACCTAAGCCAAAGAAAGATTATGAATTATAAGGAAGACGACAAAGCTGTTGAAATGTGATTACGAAAGCTGACTGGCATCTTCAAAAGGATGTTAGATGCTTACTGCTTGCCACTATCATCGATTAAATTCAAAGTTTCATCTCTTTGAGGACATCTGTTTGCCTGTGTCATAGCATGAAACAGTTGAAACCTAAGGAAGTATTTTTTATGCTTTTCTGTCTTTAGCTTTTTGTCCAGTAATTATCATAGATGTTTCTTCAGAATGTTAAAAATTCATTGCAGAATACTACACGCACAGTCTGCCATGCACATAAGGAAAACACACAAAGAGAAACACACACATAACAAACATATTTTCAGGTCCCAAATTTCACCTTTGACATTGTGTATATACTTAGTATTTTAATCATGTATGTAGCAAAATTAGTATGTAATTAAAAAATTGCTGTGTCCTGCCAACTTCACTATGTGTGTTTATATGTGTGTATATTAGTAGTACAGGTGATTGTGTTATATGGTTGGCCATTAGAGTAGGTTGAACTGTATAAGTACATACAGCAGGCACAAACGTATCAGAATCTGCCTTTTTAAACGCAATCTGATGGTAAGAATAGATTTGTAAGTTGCATCTGAAGAGCAAGAATTATATGAGCCTCTGTATATGTGGTCACACCATGTAAAAATATTGGTTATGTAGAAAATTCTACACCTGTCTCAAAGACATTTCGACAATATACCTGTGGTTGATCTATTTTTGGGGTCGTACAGTTATATTTTGGTTAAAAGACGTTCTTGAGAGCATTATTATTTCCTACATTTTTTGCAGTACCTGGATGGATGGTCAGTGATGACACAGTGATGCACCTGGCCACAGCAGATGGTGAGCTGCTCTTTTTTCGCTTGTATTCTCTTTACTTTATTTTCTTTTGTCATGTAGTGCAAGTGGTAGGAGGATGCCACTGGTAGGTCCAACCTCTTTACTCTATGTGTGTTCTTTTTCTACTGATCAGTGTTGCTTCTTCTCAGCTCTATATCACCCTCATTGTGTTGATATGCTTCTCTTTACTCAAACGAATTGAAAAAAAATTAGCCTTTAGTGTAGTTATAATAGATAATAAATAGCATTTGTATTGGTAGTAGATGGGTGTTATCCTTTATCCCAACGGGAAGCTGAGATCATGTGAAGCTGACTCATCGCTAAATATGACACTGAGCATCTATTCATTTCAAAAGTTAAATAATAAGGCTCTTTGCTGTTGAACACAGAAAACATGTGTTCAGTTCTCTATTGGGAAAGTTTTTTTAAAACCAACATTTTCCATCTGTCTGCTGGGAGCTGTATCCCTTGCAGCTGGGGGTTGGCCCTGACAGGAAGAATTTAAGCAGACTGCTTCCTTAAAGGTCTGAATTATGTTGATGGGGAGGTTCAACATTTTCAGTTAGAAATACAATTATAGAAGTCAAACTAGAGCTTAAGAAAGCCTTTTCCACAAAGTAGTTGTTGACCTCCAATATCAATATCACAGACATTGGGAATCCTTTCTTGAGGATGATCTGGATGAAAATTAGACCCAAAATGAAACCAGTGCTGGACTCTCATGGTCTAGAGGTACAGTGTTTGCCTCTCAGTCAAAAGGTCTCAGGATTGAAACCTGCCAGCGCCGAAAATAATTCCTTCTCTAAAATTTCTCCTTTGGCCTTTTGTCTATTCCTGTTTTGTCATCTGTTTTCATCTCCACTTTCTCACTTCTCCCTCAGCCACCTTTCTGCTCCTCTCTGCTTTAATACACCTGGCTCTTTTTACTGCTACTCGTGGCTCCTTCTCTTACTGCTGTCTTTTAGCCACCCTCCTATTCACAGGGTAGGTAAAATCTAACACTTTTCCTTCTCAGCAAAAAATCTGGGTGGTCCGGTGTGCAAGTTGTGGAGGTTGTCCTTTGGTAGCCCTAAAATTGATACATGTAGGCTTGAGCCACCACTCGTGCAAAATTCAAAATGTATTTCTACCAAAGCCAAAAATATTCTGGTCAGTATAAATATAAAGTACAGCAGTCTCCACCTAAGATCCCTGTGCTAGGGAGCAAGGAAATGCAGGATCTTAGGCGAACCGGGATCTTAACAGACGAACCCAGGGAAGAATCTACGGTGACCCATGTTAAGGCTCATGATCTGTAAAATGGTCTCCCATCACTCTAAAATGAACTGACGTGACCCCTTGGTGGATTTATGACACATGGCGAGCGAAGAGTGGTTAACCTTGATGACTTATCACAGTGCATAGTTGCATGAGGCGTGCCATTTCCACTTATTATCCTATCATGAGTCTGAAGATCTACGTTTATCCAGTTGCCCCTCCCCTCTACCTGTCGAAAATTTATAGCTTTTTATCTCTGACCGAGTTACCTCCCCGTGATGTTGATTTGACTCATATTTTCCAGCACTAATTGAAAGCAGCAGAGAGGATGATATGGAAACTCTGCTTTTGAGTATAGCCAGACACTACAAGCAGTGCATGAAGGACATGGCTGGCAGAGCTCCAGGTAACATTTTTGTAAATATAAGCTATTTTCTTTTTCTTCTCTCCCTTCCTCCTCCTTTCTCCTCCTCTTCCTTTTCCTAATCCTCTTCCTCCTCCCTCTTCCTTGTCCTTCTTCTCTCTGTCCTCCTCCTTCCCCCATAGTCCCCCTCTTCCTCCCTCTTCCTCTTTTTCCTCCTCATCCCCATCCTTGTTCTCTCTGCACTCCTCTTCCTTTCCTTCCTCCTTTACCTTCTCTTCCTACTTTCCTACTCCTCCCATATTTGTTCTTATTTCATATCTCCTCCCACTCCTTCCCCCTTTTTGTACTTGTTCTCATCCTCCTCTTCCCCTTCTTTGTACTTGTTCTCATCCTCCTCTTCCTTTCTTTGTACTTGTTCTTATTCTCCTCTTCCTTTCTTTGTACTTGTTCTTATTCTCCTCCTCCTCTTCCTTTCTTTGTACTTGTTCTTATTCTCCTCCTCCTCTTCCTTTCTTTGTACTTGTTCTTATTCTCCTCCTCCTCTTCCCCTTCTTTGTACTTGTTCTTATTCTCCTCTTCCCCTTCTTTGTACTTGTTCTTATTCTCCTCCTCCTCTTCCCCTTCTTTGTACTTGTTCTTATTCTCCTCCTCCTCTTCCTTTCTTTGTACTTGTTCTTATTCTCCTCTTCCTTTCTTTGTACTTGTTCTTATTCTCCTCCTCCTCTTCCTTTCTTTGTACTTGTTCTTATTCTCCTCCTCCTCTTCCTTTCTTTGTACTTGTTCTTATTCTCCTCCTCCTCTTCCCCTTCTTTGTACTTGTTCTTATTCTCCTCCTCCTCTTCCCCTTCTTTGTACTTGTTCTTATTCTCCTCTTCCTTTCTTTGTTGTACTTGTTCTTATTCTCCTCCTCCTCTTCCTTTCTTTGTTGTACTTATTCTTATTCCCCCCTTCCTCTTTATCCTCTTCTCCTTCCTCTTCATAACCTTCCCCCTGTACTTGTTCTTCTTTTTCATCTCCTCCTCTTCCTTCTTGTACTTGTTATCCTTCTTCTCGATCTCCTCGTTTTCCTCTTTTTTATCCTCCTCTTTATCCTCCTCCTACTTCCCCATCTCCTTTACCTCCTCTTCCTTCTCCTCCTGCACTTCTTTTTCTTATTCATCTTCTCCGCCGCCTCTCCCCCCCCCCCATCTTTGTACTTATTCTTATTCCCCTCTTCATTCTGCTCCCCACCTCCTCTTCGTTCTCCTCCTTCACTTTTTCTTCTTCTCCATCTCCTCCCCCACCTCCCCTACTCCCCTTTGTACTTGTTCTTATTCCTGTCTCAGTTCCTCAATAAAAAAATTAAAAAAATTAATTTTTATTAAAAAAAAAAAAATTATAAAAAAAAAAAAATAAATAAATGAATCTTGGTTGTTTTTTTGTTTTTTAAAATTTTGTACAGGTAACACATGTCGTTTGGGTACTTCGCAACTCAGGCCTGCAGTAAAAAAAGGTTACAGAATTCCCTTCAATCCACGGTAAGGGTTGCCTGTATTTTGACTGGAAAAAGCTTAATACTAATGCATGTCTTGTTTCATCACAGTCCTTTTATGTCCTTAATGTGATATGCGTATTCTTATCCATTGTGCAGTGCCAGTATGAATGTTTGCTTTTGTGTTAGCCTTAATCTAAAGAGCATATGTTTGCATGTTCATCCACTGGTGTTTTGTGTTGAGATGAAGGTATTGTAAACCGCCTAGAGCTGCATTGTGTGGGAGTGAGCGCTATGGAAATTATCTGCATTAATATTATTATGATGATGATGGTGGTGATGTGGTTGGCGGGTGCTCTGGTGTGGTTTGCTCCTTCTTTCCTATCAAACATCTATCGTCCTGATCTCTCCTCCTTCTTTTTTATGTTTGTTACTCTCTTGTAACACCTCTAGTCTTCAGCACTTATATGACCTTATTGTGTTGCAAGTGCAGTAAAACTCTTACGAAAACTAAAATGATTATCATTATTAATATTACTATCGTCGTCGTTGTTATTATCATAAGTATTATCAGTATTATTATCAATATTATTTTTATCATTATTATTATTATTGTTGTTGTTATAGTTCTGTGTATCCAATATACCTGCAGTGTACTTTTAGGACATCATTAATGATGAAATAAAGAAATGAATTGTGCAAATCAGAAGTTCTGTCTGTCTGTCTGTCCGTCCGTCTGTCCCTCCCTCCCTCCCTCCCTCTCTCTCTCTCTCTCTCTCTCTCTCTCTCTCTCTCTCTCTCTCTCTCTCCTGGTGTCTTCTTTTTTGTCATTTTTTTTGGGTAAGTGTTTTACAGCGCTCGCAACTGCATAAGGTCATATGAGTGCGCGGAACTCACCTATTATTTTCAGTTGGTAGGAAACTTTTAATTTTGCACGTGTGGCGGCCAAAGCCTACTCTTATCGATTTTGGACCCCACGAAGGGATCTTTAACGTACACAACTTGCACACGGGACCTCTGAGATTTTTCGCCCTTCTCCTGGTGTCTGTGGTGCAGTGATTAAGCTCCTCGTCATCTCATGTAGAAGACGCGCTTGATTCTTGAGTGGAGAGTTTTTGTGTGTGTATCTTTGCCTGTCTGCTGGGGTGTTGTATCCCACAAAGCCTTATAATTTATAGTATAGGCTTGGTTGAGGCAGCCCGCCTCTTAAATGATCTAGATTGTGTTGATATATACGGATGTAAAAAGTGTGCAAGCACAAGTCTCTTTCTTTCGCTATCTCTGTCACTCTCTCTCGCTTTCTCTTTCTCCTTTTCTCTCTCACTTTCTTTCTCGCTCTCTCTCTCTCTCTCTCTCTCTCTCTCTCTCTCTCTCTCTCTCTCTCTCTTTCTCTCTCTCTTTCTCTCTCTTTTTGGTTTTGCTTGTCTGCTTGTCAAATCAAATCTTTGCTACGCTTGCTGAAAATTAGGCACCTATTTAAGGGCTCATCCTTACGTCACTTAAAATGTTCACCATCAACACACTTTATACTCAATATATGTATGGTTCTTTATCTCTTTCTTTTTACATAGAGAATAAGTGACACTGGGTTTATTTGTCCAACTTTTTTCCTCTGTGTTTCTTTTTAGTGGTGGTGGATGTGGAGCTGCTATGAGGGCAATGTGCATCGGATTGCGATATCCAAGGTAATGATAATAATAATAATATTAATAATGATAATAATAATTAATGATAGATCTAATAGATGGTCTGTCAATGTCTGACGATGACCAGTGCATCTGCAGAGGAGAATAAACTCAAGCGAAATAAAAGAATCAGGAGAATTAAAGGTTAAGATGAAATCAATTCTGGCAGAGAAATGTTCACCACATTTTGAGCATTCAAAAGCTCTACTTCCACTTGTGGATGTACTCGGCCTATGTGTTTCTCTCTTGGTTTTAGCATTTCTTATTCATAAAACCTTATATGACTTACTGCCCATTGTGACTGCTGCTCTCCAGCTGGGTCTGTTTAGCACTAGGCTCTCCTGTGCTGAAGGGTTTATGTTGAAGTCTGTCAAAGACATTTTCAGGGTACCTTTGCAGCGCTATCTTAGTATGCCAACTCTACGTTTCTCTTAGTAATGAAGTTCAGTTTATCTGTTGTTACCAGTTTCAAGTCTCCAAGAAAATGTAAAAAAAACTCCCATCACTCACTATAGCAAACCAAGGTTTGGTGTTGAGTTTTAAGTAAAATTTGCCTTTTTTTTCAGCTAAAGTAAACAAAAAGCAACCTCTCGGGGTATTTTTTTTGTTTTGTTTTATTTTTGCAGCTTGCTTCTTGATCTTTTCAGTTTTGTTTTGACTAGCTTCAGGTTAAATAATTTGTTTATATTTTTAAAGAGTTTCGTAAGTTAGTGTTGGAATATTAGAACAGTCTGCTGAGTCAGTGTTTCTTGAATTCCTTAACATTTGTCCCATCTCTGTTTTTTTCTTTTTCACATCTCCACTGAGCTGGAAATTACATCTCAAAACTTAGTCTCTAGTGACAGGACAGTAGCAACTGGTGGTGAAGTGATGTTGAGACTATGATAGTATTGCTTGTTCATACAATGGAAACGAAGATGGTTATATCTTTGGAGGGTATGCTTGGTAGTTCCTATTTCTTTACTTACCTCTAACTCTTTTTTATTCTCAACTTTGCCTCTTCCTGACACAAGAATGGTAGTCATTTGATATCTTTGCTTAAGTTTAAAGCAATTTTTTCTCAAAAGTTTTTATTAAAAGTTCATTGCTTATGACAAGGGGAAGGCTTTTAACAAAGATCAGAGAATTTATTTCACTGGAGATGTATACCTTTACTGTCAATATTCCTTAAAAAATTGGGACATAGATGAAAATTTGTGTTTTTTACGCTCTGTGTAGAGAAAAACTATTCTATGGATTTATCTATTAATGAATGTCAAATTTATTTTGACTCCAAAATGTTGTGTACAAATTTGAAACACAAAACTATGGTGTGGAGGAAAATATTTACTAAAAATGTTGTTTAGTGTTTTTTTGATCGCCCTGTATATTTGAACAATGCTCTTTTATTCCTCAGGCCAGATCAGCTTGATACTCTGATCTGTGTGAGTGTAGAGTCTGGGCGTATGACTCATCACAATCCTGTTGGTTTCCTCGGCAGTTTGGCCTCTGCTTTACTTACAGCTTATGCTGTACAAGGTGAGGGCTTTATTCAGTCGCGCCCCAACGAAAGAGTAGAAGATCTGACCTAAATTACAGATGATTTTTATAGCTACAAAACAAAATAAGCCGCATCTCACATTTTGACAATATAACGCAGATGGTATCAAATTTAAGATTTCTTTAAACTTGGCTTGTTCGTGAAATAGTTTTAGTCTATCTGTGTTGGTTCTGAAGTTATAGTCAGTTTAAGTTAGGGAGGTAGAAACACGGTTTTTGAGAAATTTGAAGTTTTGCCCAATATCTTGAAACAGCTAAGTGTGACAAGCAACTCATTTTGTCACATTGCTACACTTGTGGTTTTCCTGTTTTCCCAAATCTGATCATTAATGTGAACCTTACCCCTTTAAGCCTTGCTCCAGTCCCTAGTTCTTCATGTTTTTAGATCAGTAGTGTTGGGCCAAATGAACGAATGGTTTCGTTACTCGCGGACACCGTCAGCGCGAGCGAGTAATGGATGGATTGGGAACCTAAAGAATTTCCTTTTTTTTTTTAGTTTGCCACACAAATTTATTCACTCTGTGGACGGAAACAGAAGAACTCTTGCAGACAAAGATACTGTACTCAAGGTTCTGCCTATCATCTACGAGGTCTGTCTCAGAGTAAAGTTTCCCTGCCACACTGTCCTCACATATAATTATAAATCACCTTGTATTTAGTATCAACAGAAAGCTTATTCAAATACCTGTTCAACGTAGGAACCATCTAGTTCCAGACATTTCTCCATTTGATGTACACAGCGGTCAAAGACAGGGGTCAGTGACCGTTTGTCCAAGGTCCCGAATGCTTTTCTCATAGCCTCTTGAATCTGGTCCTCGTCCTCAAATCGCCGACCTCGCAGCATTTCTTTCACCGTAGAGAAGAAGTGGAAGCTGCATGGGGCGAGATCGGGCGAATAGGGCAGGTTTTCCAAGAATTCCCACAAGTAGCCCTCAAAAAGCTCGTTCACAACTCTGGACTTGTGAACAGGCACGTTGTCATCATGCAGGATGACGCCTTCTTCAAGCAAAGCGGGCCCTTTTTCGGGATCGCAGGTCTCAGCTTGTCTTTGAGGACAAACCTCTCTAGTAGTCACCATTGACAGTGACAGTTACGCCAGGTGTGACTAGCCAGCTCAGTATGATGCCACTCATGTCGAAAAAATCAATGTGCATCACCTTTCTCTGCCTGTGTTTTCAGTGTGCGCTTCATCTTTCATATCAGACCTCCCACCTTCAACTTCCCTGATCCATTTCCTTACTGTTTGAATTGATGAGGAATTATTCCCTGTTACTTTATATAGATCACCCTAAGTATCAACTGCAGACTTGCCGAAAAGAGTTGAAAATTTGATAACAACTCGGACATCGTAGCGTGAGAAGGTTGCACCAATGTTTTGCTCAGCCATATATTCCTTGAATTTGCCTTGGACAAAGTGCACAAGAATACCACACTTGACACGTCACAGCTCTATGACCCGTTCACCAATGCACTTGCAATTTGGCGTTAAGATTAAGATTACTTAGACATGATGTCACAAAATTTAGTGGCTGTTGGTTGCGTACCTTTAATTTTATGGAAGAGGGAAACTTTATTCTGAGACAGACCTCATATTGTTTGTACATGTAATTGATTCAAGCCACAAGTGGTGCCACAGGGAGTGAGAGACTGGTGGCGTAGCACTGTGACTGCAAGATGCAAGGCTTATGATTGTGTGTTACCTTCCTCTGCATGTGTGAGCCACACTGGGTGCATTCTTATTTGTTGCAAAGGTGAAATTTTAAAAGTTCCCAAAGGCCTTGGGAAAGAAAATACCCGCTACGAACAGCACTTAGCTACTATGTATTTTCGCTACGATGAGGGTGTAGTATGTGGGGAGGAGGAAGGGGGGTGATTTGGGTGGGGGAGGGGGGAAATTGTTGGGTGGGGGGGGGGGCGGGGTGGTACAGTGGATAACGTATCTATACATGACATAAGCTAGAGTAGTTGTAGAAGTAGTAGTAGTAGTATGCACAATGCAAGGAATCTCTCCGTCTGCCCGTCGTGCCTGCTCACTAAATGAACAGAGGTGTAACAAACTCTTGCACAAGTAGACGGTTCGCTATCTGTCCGTTTGTTTGCAAGTATTACCAGCGAACCGTTCAGTACTTGCGGACAATGATTTAGCCAGCCTGACCCAACCCTATTTATCATTTGCCTTCTTCACCCTGGTATTGGGTATAGATGCCAAGAAGGGCCCTCTACCTGTCTCTGCTCTGGGCAATTTTCTACACATCCAGCAAGTTGTGTCTTATATTATGCCTGAAATCTGCCTCTTGACCTCACTCCCAGGGGGACCTGGGCCTTCCTCTCTTTTTTTCTCCCCTGGGGGTTCCATCATGGGCTTTTATAGATGTATGTTGCGTTCAAAAGTTTTGTAAACTTCCTCACTGTCAGTTTAAACTGGTTGTTATAGCAACTGATGCACCCAGTTGATCATGTATGGGTGGATGGTTGGAGGGCACCACTGGTAGGTCCTACTTCTTTTCTTTCCCTCGTTTGTTTCTATCTTTCTTGCTTTTTCCTGCACTAACTAACCATCAATGTGTTGATGTGCTTCTCTTTACTCAAACAAACAAACAAACAAGTCATGTCTATACAGTCAAACACGGGTAACTCGAATTCGTCGGGGGTTGGAAATAGTGTTCGAGATTTGTATAATTCGTCAAGTCCCTGAAAGCCCCAAATACAAAGAAATAGAGAGAAAATCAAGGGAGGTAAAAAAAAAAGAACTTTAAAATTAAAACAATTAAGCTGGTTAGCTCCCTTGATGAACGTGTTGACGGTGTGAAAGCAAGAGGATGAATGAAAGTGGAAAGCAAAAAATCTCACATGTGCACAGCCGACTCCTTCGTCATTCCTTTCCTTTCATATCATTGGCTTACAGAAAGTTACGCCTCTTGCCATCCGCACTGCGCATGTCCCACAGCATGATTGCACGCGTGGCGAGCCAGTCATGCGGTGTGGTCAGCATCACTCCCTGTCATACACCACACCCCCAGCCCTTACATAACTTATTTGTGTTGCGAGTGGTGTAAAACTCTTACTAACACTGTTTTAAAATAAAAAACGATCCTGTTATGGTAACCCTGTGTGTAAGTACAAGTACTTTTCTTTCACTCATTTGTTTCTGTCTTATCTTTCTCACTCTTTTGCCCCCACCGCCCACGTTTAAATGGCAGTCATTGTGTCAATGTCTGTGCTTCTCGTGACTCAAACAAATAAAACAAAGACTGGAGACATACAGGTGGAATCTACCATGTGTGTTGTGTTTTGGCCTCTATGCACAAAGTGTCTTTTTTTTTTACTGTGTGCATGTTGGGTTGTTTTTTTTAGTACAAAAAGTCTTTTTAAAATTCTAATAGGCCTACCATGTTTATGGCGCGGGAAGTTGAAGGAGAGGCCACTGGTTATATCCTACTTGAATGCTTTCCCTCTATTCTTGTCTGTCTGTCTTGCTTTTTCCTTGCACGAAATGAGCGTTATCTTGTCAATTTGCTTCTCTTCACGCAAACTCAAACTCATGCTTATTGTTCTGTACCAAATGGGTTCTCCAGGGCTTCCCTCTTGGCTGTCCCAGCAATTTTATGCACCCCGCACAATTTAGCAAAATTGATCTTTTTTTTGCCTAATTTCTGATTATTTTCCTTTATCATTCTTTGTCAAAATTAACAGAATCGCATAATTTCACATTTTTGGGCTCAGTTTGCATAATTTCAGAATTTTTCTTGCATAAAACGACGGGGACAGTCTTGGCTGTGGTAGTTTTTGGCCATTGAATTTTATGAATAAACTATTTAAGCTGAGTAAAAGAGGTTAGATCACTCAAGAAAGTCACAAAAAGGTTGTAGAAACGCCTCCGCACAAGAAATCTTGTGTGACCCTTTTCAGGCAGAGAAGACCCTTCTTCACTTCAACATATGTGTTCACAGTGAAGAAGGGACTTACCTGATTCATCCAAAGTAAATTTCTTGCATTTAGGGTTTCATGCAACCTTTTTGTCATTATCTTTATCTGTTGAAAAGACAGAGGTTGACTCTTTCCTAATGGGAGTTTCACCTAGGACACTGAGTATGTGTGGTATTGATGGTAGATTTTTTTTTCAAACACTTTTAGGTCGACCCATTCAGAGCTGGGGTCAAGGTTTAATGGAAACATTGCCCAAAGCACTGGACTACATCCGATCAAGCGAGTATTGTGTTTCAGAAAATGAAGAAGCCTGGTGAGTACTTTTGCTTTGCTGGTGTTTAACCCTCATCCTGCGGGAGCCGGGTTTATGTCGCCCGATAAGCCTATTTCGGCACCTCGCCTACGTTCTGGTCCCGAATCAGTGTAGCTCCTGGCTCAGCGCACGCGCAGCCTCTTATGTGTCATTTGGGTCCGGAGTCGGATCCCCATTCACGCAGGTCAAGTGTGTGTGCGTCAGTCTGCTTGAGTTTGTGTGCGTTTGTGGCCTTCTTCTAGAACCGCCTGCGTTGGTTCATAATCGAGGCATACGTCTCATTCTAAACATGCCAAGTTGATAGCTCTAGATGTTCGTCCAATGAAATTATAGAAGAAATTGACCCACTTAGACATGAGGAGTTCGAAAGGATAGTCAGGAAACAAGACTTCCATTTTTCTATACAAAATATTTCAAATGAGCTTGATTTTGTATGAAATGATACTACCTGACAAAAAATAAGCTTGTTTGATAGTTTTGAATACCATTGTGCAGGTACAAAGAACAATTTGAGTGTAAAACATTCGGAAATTGACCTAAATTATCCCCTTTCGAACCTCAGGTCATTCATAACAACAAGAGTGTCCAGAAAGGTTATTCGAAAGGGCGTAACTACTCGTAATGTCTTATCAGCTTGTGAGAGGGGGTTATTCATTTGTTTGTAACACTTTATGAATAGAAAGCTATGAAAGATAGAGCGTTATTTTCATCATTGGTTAAAACACTCCCGCGGTATTCATGGCGGAAACACACGTTTCCCAGTGCGCTGTACACCAACAGTACACACTGAGTGACCCCGGAGGCCTGCCCGGCACGTCTGACGTAATCGGTTGCTGATAAGATAAGCATCTGGGCACAGACGCAGGATAAGAGTTAAGTTTTAACTTTGCTCCCTTCATGATTACACTGTGATAGTGGGCACTAATAATAGTTTTTAGTTGACATCATGTGAGACTGTTGGGCAGATAACCTAGTTTGAATCCCCAAAGGGACATTTGAAAGTATAATATGGGTTGTAATTGTAGGTGTTCTGCCCTTCCATTGACAGAGGTTAAATCGTTTAGGAGTTGGGCTGCTTCTACATTCCTGTCAGGGCCAACTTTGGCAGAGAAAGATACAATGTCCAAGTAGAAAATTACAGAAATTGTCAATGAAAAAAAAAACCCTCCTCATAATCAACATGGGAATCGAAGTCACGTCTTCTGCATGCAATTGCGAAGCGCCTAATCACCACAGCACAGACGCCGGTCTCCACCAACTTGGCTCTGTCCTATCAGATGGAGTTTGGGCTCAGAAAGAGGGATGGAACGTCCCAACAGAAGTACGGAGATAGTCGATAAAAAGTCTCCCCACACAGGAACTGAACTCAGGTTTGCGTGTGATGATGAAGTGCCTGACCGTTACACCACAGGTGCTGGTCCGTGTGCACCTCTGTACTCAAACAAACACACAAATTTGTTTCCTTTCAGGGGTTATTTCGAAAAAAAGTGGCAGGATTATTTGGAGCTGCGTGGACTAACAGATGGCAAGTCCGAGGCCAAGTTTCCGGAGCAGTACGGCTTTGCGGAGCGGGACCAGTTTGTGAAGAGTGTCAGCTTCAGTGGATGGGGGGGAGCCAGCGGTCACGATGCTCCCATGATAGCGTAAGCTTTGTTTATTTGTTTGTGGGGTTTTTGTATGGGGGGGTGGGGGGGGTGGAGGTGTTTCAGGTTTTTTGTCTCTTTTATGGGTAGGCCTACCTTGCTAATGATCTTATTTGTATCAAACAGTTTTTGATTTATGAGAACGTAAGTAAGTATGCTACATGTAGGTAGCGTAAACACGGCCTCGCGGGCACTCGCGGCCTTCCAACCGCGTGGTATCGGTAAAATCGGGGTAATTCTTTGCTCTTTCGCAATAAAACACCAAATACCGTACACCTTGTAAAAGTTCAGCTTTTCCTCGTTACAATGGTGTAAGTTGTTTATATGTCCGATTATTAGGAGCTGGAGAATCGCCGACGAAAGCGAAGCCCCTCGCGGTCGGAATGCGAGGTCGGCCGGTTGAAAAATTGACACGCGTGCATTCAAATGCTTCGCGGAACGAGGGATGATTAAATACCGTCTTTTCATTGTAGAGCTTTAAACGGGCTTTCCCGTGATATAAGTTTAGCCTTTGGCGTCTTTATAGAAAGCTTTTAAAAATACCGTCAAAATGTTTAAAGTATCCCTTTTTACACAAAATATGTATAATACCGACTTATAACAGGTATCCATTAAAAGGTCAGTTTATTTTCTATTAGAATAAAGTTATTAACTTAGAATTATTTTTCATCAATCCTTCCGCGAGACTCGGAAAGCATGTGACCCCGCACGCGGGGTACACTACAGTATAGAGCAGACTCGCTCGCTGCGGGGGCCGGTGCGCCGCCGCCGTGTCAACGCTCGGTGTTTTTGTCGAAATAACGACAGATCGTCGTGTTTGAGGCGATAAAATACTGATTTGTAAAGATCTCACTGTCTTGAAAAAAATTAGGCTCCATATATTTGTTATAGTGATTGTACTCTGTTAATGTGGAGATGTTTAGTGCACTTGGTACTTTTTTTATGTCTGTCAAACATGGGGTTGCAGCCAGTGACTGACTTAAACAAATTTGATCAAATTTTAAACAACTTCAATTTTCTTAGAAAATTGACGGAGAGGTTAAAGAATGGTACCCAAATGCTCAGTGGATATAGGCCTTTCAAATGGAACAGATAAATTTGGCATACAGCAACTTGGAAAATTTAGTTTCTGGTACCTACTACATGCAATGATATTTCAACATCACAAGAAGAAACAGAAAGAGGATAGGAATATATTAATGTTTAGATTTAATTGTTAGTATTCAATTAAGTTTTTTTTCATCTAACTTTTATTGCCTATTCGGGATGAAATGAGTTACATGTCAGATTCTGACAATAAAACGTCATTGGTATCGTATTAAAGATTTAATTTATTTTTGCTAGATGTGTTAGTGGAACACTTTTAATCTATCTGCTTTGGTTCTAAAGTTATAGTCACCATAAGCTAGGTAGGTGAAATCACAGTTTTGAGAGATTTGATGTTTTACCCAATCTCTAGTGTTGGGTCAGGTTTGCAAATTCAGCATCAGCGAGTAATGAATGGTTCGCTGATAATACTCACAAACGAATGTACAGATAACGAACTGATCACTTGTGAAGATTCGTTCACAGCACCTCTGGCTCAGAAACAACCATTTGTATAGTTAATGGACGGATTTGGGGATGGAGAGACTCCTTGTATTGCATACTACTACCTCTACATCATATATATGGTATAGAGAAAGCAGTTGCGAGCGCCATAAAACCCCATACTAAACAAAACTAAATCTGGTATAGAGAAACGTTCACGCATGTGTGACATGGCATATAATTCACTACACACCCCCACTCTGGCATATCACCCTCACATATTACTATTACGCTTTCATTGTACTGGTGGTACATTGTAGCTGAGTGTCATTTGTGGCAGAAATTTTTTTACCAAGGCTTTTGGGAATTTTAAAAACTTAGCTTAGAATCCGTTCACCCCAACACCACCAATATTTTGAAACAGCTGAATGTGACAAGTGACTGATTTTGTCACATTGCTACGTATGGCTCTCCTGTTTTCCCAAATCTGACCACGTATATGTGAACCCTACCCCTTTTAGCCTTGCTCCAGATCTTACACTGGCTATCATACTTCATGCATGGACGTTCTGTTTCAGGTATGATGCTCTGCTTGGGGCAGGAGACAACTGGTCAGAACTCTGTAACAGGTTAGTGGACTTTGTGTTTTTTTTCAAAAGTTTTTAAGGAGTTAATGAATGAATGAGTCAAGTTTTCAACATTTTCATCAACACCTACCAAAAGTGAAAATACTCTAGTCAGTGTAAAATTATGGAGTGTACCTTTGACATCGTAATATGGCTGCCTGAGGGCGAAGGGCCCTTGGAAGAAATAAAAATAGTCACATACGTACAGTTAGTTGAACTGCAGGTTGAAGAACCAGCTTGAGCTATCAACTACCCCTGAGATCTAGCAGGGGAGGGCAAGGAAAGAGAGGAAGAATGTTTTTATTGTTTTGGGATTTAAAAAATTATTTAGACCATAAATGAGGTGAGCTGCTTCAGCCTCGCCTATCATGGCCATCCTTGGTTGAGTGGGATACAGCTTCCACAAGCAGACAGAAAGAGACACTTGATGAAAAACTTCCCCAAACCAAACTCATGTTCTCTGTTGATTGCAGCAAAAAGCTGAAGCATTACAACATAGACACATCTTCATCAGTATAGGTCAGTGCTGATACATGCCATGTCTGTTGTCTCAGTTCTTCTATTCTATTGGTCATGTAGAACATTTCTGCCTTAGAGAGTTCTGTACTGTCCAGCTCGCTGTATTCTCTATGTAAAATACTAGTGGTCTGCCCCTCCTTCTTTTGCCTGCAGTGGAATGAATAAATGAGTATTTAGTTCAAAGCTCTTTTGATTGCATTGTGCTGGTTTGTTAAGGTTTTAATCGATGTGTCATAAAACAGAACTTTCTGCTTGGACCCTCTTTCCTACTTTAAACCTCCAGCGCTTTGAATAATTATAGTGCAGAGACACTAGCAGGGTGCACTGTGTGGTTGATAAGATTAAGAATGTGTCAGTTTTGTGGGTTTGGTTTGTTTAACTGGTTTTGCTTTGTTTTGTTTCGAACTTGAGTTTTTTTGTTTGTTGTTTTAGGGGTTTTTGTTTGTTTTTATTGTCTTTTGTATGGTTGGTTAATTGTTTCGGTTGTTTTTTTTTTTTTTTACATTTGTTTTTGTTTTTTGTTGCTTTTTTGGGAGTTTAGCGAGATTTTCTTGGAAGGGAGGAGGGTAAGTCAGTATTATGGGGAGACTACAATAAAACACTTGTCTTGTTAAACTGATATCCCAGGTTTGATTTCTGCTGTAGACTGAAGAACCGCAGGAGTTTTTTTTTTTCTGAAGAGTTACAAGGCTTTCTTATACTGTCTCAGCCCTGCCTTAGTCAAAGGTTAAAGACAATTCTTCTTCTTGAGTAACTCACCAACAGTCTTTCTGCAAGGGTGTTGTATCCCTCTGAGACCTAAATTGTGTCAGCGGGGCTGTAAAAACAACTACATTTAATTTTTTTAAAAGAACATTTTTTAAGACGCACTTCAACTCACTGACAGCTTTTTAGTTCAGAGAAAAGGCAAGATCATAGACAGAGGGAAAGAACAGAGATGTAGAACTTTTTAGTGGTTCCTTATAGCTACCAACATGCAATTGTGCTTGGAAAGAAAATAATACAATAACAGACTCAAATACAACCAATTCAATCAACCAACCAGCCAAACATTTTTTTTTAGCTGACTGAATTAGTAAAGGGAAAAATTCAATGTATAGCTATTTGTTTATGTCTTTTTTTTCTTTCTATATTTTAGAGGCATGTTCCACGGAGGCGACAGTGATAGTACAGGTGTTATGGCTGGTTGCTGGTTTGGAGTTCTCTATGGATACAAAGGTGTTCCAAATGGAAACTACAGTGTAAGTAGGAATATTGATAAAAGTAGAGTGTAACCCCCCCCCTTCCCCACTCAACCAATCTTTTCATATTTTGAGGATTTCTTGCTCCTGTAAGACATAGTTTCTATCCCAGAGTGACCTCCACGGTGACCCTTGATATGTTTACTAAGTCAAACATGTTTGAAATTGATGGGGGCTATATTTTACTTTTACTGGAATATCTTCTCTCATGGCGATCAGGGTAGGGAAAGGTGGGACATGCTTGTTCATGGCCTATACCCTAATGCAGTGGGAGAAAGGCAATGATGATGGTCATGAACGTTAGAGACGATGGCTGCCGACTATTGTTTCAGAGGAAGAGTGTACCTAACGTGTGTAAGTTAAAAGAACGCATTACTGTTGTGTGTCCCCCAAGGACAGAAGACACAATATACCATCTCGGTCCCCAGGAGACCCTATAGAGTTGCAGCTTGTTGGGAGCGTGTGTCTATCTTTTACTTCTAAATTATGTCTCTCTACTGTTTGATTGCCAAATAGCCAGTTTGCATTGGTGTGAACAGAGAATTTAGTGGAAACCTGATATAACAGGGATGGTGGGAGTAGAGAAAATGTCCTGTTATATCCGATCCCTGTTAAATCAGAAATGCAAGGAAAGTAAGCATTTGTGGACTAATCCAGCTGTACTTATTCATGGGTAGTTTCCCTTGCCACAAGTACCCACGAACAAGGGTTTTGGCACCGACTTTCTCCTTGCCTCCTTAAACCACATCAGAAGAGCTTGGTCCACAGCATCTGCATCGGGTAGTCTCATCTTCTTTCGATTCAGAGCAAACTTTCCATTGGAGTATGCTGCCGCTATCTTCTCTCTATCCTTGATAATGGTGTGAATCGACCCTTGTGGAATGTCGAACTGACGACAAATCTCTGCCAGTGTAGCTTGCTTTTTGTCAACGGTCTGGATTATTTCGGGGGGGGGGGGGGGTTGTCAATTGAAAGGCATTTTCTCTTGCGCTTGACATCGTTGGTGACAGTAGACACATTAGTCATTACGCGTGCGTGTTGCTAGGTTTCGGGCTAGATCGAGGTCTGCAGCACAGTGCAGCCCTCTCTCGCTTCACACTCTGCGTGTGCTTGCAGTGGCATGGCTTGCATGGGCTTGCTCCATCACTGCCTGCGTTACTCTCTCTCTCTCTCTCTCTCTCTCTCTCTCTCTCTCTCTCTCTCTCTCTCTGTCTCTGTCTCTCTCTCTCTCTCTCTCTCCTCTTACTTTTTACACATTGTTAACGAGCCTTTGTCCCTGCTATAACCGGTTGGGCTCCGATGAGGCCCTATTATTGCCGATAACTTTTAATAGAGACAAAGAGTACGAAAAATCGGGGATTTAAAAAATCCCTGTTATTACCGGGCCTGTTATATGGTTTCCACTGTATAACCCAGAGGAAACAACATCTGACTGGTTGAATCTGTGAATTGAAGTTGCAACTTAAAAGAATTTTGAGTCTTGTATGTTATACCTCTAGATGTAATATTTAGACAGTCCACGGGAGGCTTTCAATAACTTTTGTCCCTCCATTCTTGTCTGTTCCAGCGTCTGGAGTACAGAAAACGGCTGGAGACTGCGGGGGAAAAGTTGTACAAGTATGCTTTTCCTGACGCAGATTCTGAAAAAGATCAGCCAGTGATGGCAGAGGCAGTCAAAGTTACGGTTGAGGAACCTGCAGCTTCAGAAAATGCGTCTTCAAATTGAAATGATGCCCACATTGTTCAAGATTGTCTAAACAGAACCTCAAGCACTTAGTGATGAAGGGCCTTGTTGATTGGTGTTTTTTTTGTGGGTTGAACATCGTTTGTTTTCGTGGATTACATTCGTTCAATAAATAGGTAGACAAAACATAGTGTTATTCTTCTTCAACAGGAAACAGGAAGTGCGTTTATAGTTGTAAAAAAAGGGGGATCATCCTGATCCAGCGTTCATGACATCAGAACATGTAATTCGCATTACAATATCTAATATAATAATAATAATGATATATGGATATGAGAGCAGATAAATATATAAAACCGGGTATACCTCTTTAAGGTGATTTTATCTATTAACACTTTGCCATCACAAGGCTCATATAGCAAAAACTCTTGCCATCAAAAGCAAGGGCACTTTGGGGAAAATTTTTAAAAACTGGGTGGTAAACATCGCCGATCGGCGAGATGAGGCCGCAAAGTGTTAATACCCACTCTTAAACTCAGCTTACTAACTTTGCTGAATGAAATGATAGTCATAGTCAAAAGTAACGAAGGGGAAATAACCCAAATTTTAACATTAGAGAAAAGATGTACTGTTTTCCAAAAACTTGGAGAGTTGTGAACAGCCTCAAGGGCATGCAGATGGTCATGTAGAATGCATGTCCGTCACTCACTACTCCTAGTTTCCACATGTACATTACATAATAGCCTACATACACACAGACAGCATTACTTATGATCATGAACTGATTACACTTAAAAAATTCAATGCAGTCCACATGATTGCTGTGTTGTGGTTGGCACTGCTGTATTATTACTGTACTATACACAGGCCCTGTCTTGTCTTGCACGATTATTCTGAACAAGAAAATACACATGTATGTATTCTATATGCATTAAATCAGTTTATGAAGGTAACTGGAAATATCATGAAGAAAATACAAAAGAAGATACTTAAAAGATACGTATCTGAATTGTGCAAAGCATAACTTATGAACCCCTGATTGACAACAGGAGGTAACAAATAATCAAATACATGTATCATAATATGTCAGAAAATTAAAATCATTTAACAGTTCACACTACACAGTAAATGAGAATTTATTTTCCCATTAAGAGAGCAATAAACTTATCATTTTTTAATCTGTTTATGGCTTTGTAAACACATCAGCAATGTTTTCTTATGATTGAACGTAAATCAGTTGCAACTTGTCATTATTTATTTCATTTCTGATAAAATGAAATTTTATATCAATGTGCTTTGACCTTTTGTGATGGACTGGGTTTTTAGCCTGAGCTATAGCTCCCCGATTGTCACAGTGCAAAATGAATCGGTGGACATTAAGTCAACCATGTCGTTCAACAAAGCTTTCATAAATCAACCTTCCTGCGTGGCAGCAGACAAGGCCATGTATTCCACCTCACATGTTGATAGCGCCACTGTGGGCTGCTTCTTAGATTTCCTTCAAATCAAGGGACCACCTTCACAAAGTTAGAATCCATGTCCAGTTATGCTTTTGCGGTCATCAGAGCTGCGCCAGTCAGCATCACAAAAGCCTACAAGGTCAAGCGGTTTGTCTGTTTTCCTGAAGAGAAGTTTTTTTATCAACTACCTTTAAGGTATCTCAACACATGCTTAGCCATATCATATGGTATGTATCAGGTTTTGCCATAAATTGTGACAACTTTGTTACAATGTAAGAGAGATCAGGTCTGATAGCAGTCATTATGTATATCATTTATCAAGCCACCAACTATTTCTCTGTACCTTCTTGCGTCTTTATCAGAACAATTTTCATTGTCCGCCAGGATCTCTCTGCTGTCCCATTTTGATGAGGACTATGAAGAGAAGACCTGTGATGCTTTATCTTATTTTTTATCAAAAGAGATTCAAATTAATTCTTCCTCCTCCTTCCTCCTCCTTTTTCCTCCTTCCTCCTTCTTCCTCCTCCTTCCTCTTCTTCTTCTTCTTCTTCTTCTTCTTCCTCTTCCTCCTCCTCCTCCTCCTCCCCCTCCCCCTCCCCCTCCTCCTCCTCCTCCTTCTTCTTCTGATGATGATGATTGAGGTGAATTCTCCCCCACCATACCTTCTAACACATTTAACATCACCAAAAGGGCTCATTTCTGCCAAGAATTTCTGAAATGCATGTCATTGGTATCAGATTTCTTCTGTAAAAAATAAACATTGGATAAACCAGAAAAGTTATCAACACAACAAAGTGCTTTTGAAATTGTCCTTAGCAGTCAGGTATGCACTCGACAGAATTCCTGAATCTTTGGAAAACTCAATTTTCATGTCAGATCTTTTTCCAATTGGTCCAGCTAAGTCAACATGAACCTTTTCAAGAATTGCCTTGGCATGAGTGTCAGGTTGTCGATTTCTTGTCTGAGTCATTTTACCTAAAAGGCACTCATCACAATTGTCATTTTCACCAGTTACTACTGGATCTTTGATTGTCATGCCATTAAAACACTTTTTGAGAGAAATAATATCCTGCTTGTTACAATGTCCAAGAATATTGTGCCACTCATCCAATGAGCATACAGCATTTTGGTGGTGAAGTGAATTCAAGTAGTACAGACTTTCTTTCTTTTTTTATTTCAAAGCTATAATTTCCGCTCGACAGAATTCCTGAATCCTTGGAAAACTCAATTTTTGTGTCAGAGCTTTTTTCCAACAGCGGATGGAACAGAAAATATATTATATCCTGTGAAAAAGTAGGAACGTACAGTGCATTTTTCAGGATAACTTTGTGAACGATACCCTGGGTGTCACGGAGTGAAATCACAGCATCACCTTGTCCCTATGCCATGTCTGTCAATCTCCTTCCATCTGCTATTGATATTCAATGACGTGATTTGCAGGTGTAAAAATGATTAGTTGAATGTGACGAATTTGTTTTTGTCATTGACAATGTGAAATGAGGCACCACTGTCGACAAGAAGGGTATCGGCGACATGAACTTCATTGTTTTTGGTGTTGCTCCCAACGAAGAATGTAAAGTCACTTGACTCACTTGTGCTGGAGTTTACGTATTTGCAGAAGACGGCTTAAGTTTCCTGCAGTATTTGGTATCATGATTCTTAACTTTGCAGTGGTCACACCATCTTTTTCAATTGGGGCAGAACTGAGTGTCATGCGTTTTTGATTTACACTCATTGCACCACCTCGACTGTGCAGGTCTGGTTTCGTGATCCCTTGCCGCTGCCTATTGGGTGGCTGTTAATGTCATCTCTGAGCATTTGTTCTGGAATGAATATTCAAAACAGAGCATTCACTGCTGTCAGTAACTTCATCTTCTTGATTTCTAAGGCTTTCTTTGAATTCAGCAAACGTCTGAGCCTTCTCACGCTGAGTTGTTACAGTAATGAAAAGCTGGTAACGCACTGGCAGTCCTTTCAAGACCATGGCGATTAGAAGTGAATCACTGACAATCTCACCAGCTTGTTTCAAGGACATCGTGATGATTTTTTTGTGATTAGCGATCAGAGATACTGATAACGGGTCGATAGCCCTGTCCCTTACACCCGCAAACATCGTACATAACAAGGTAGTTCACTCCTCTCTTTGAGCCAATTAAAAAAGTGTCCTCAAAGTTGGGTGGTGCCCTCTTAAAAAAAGTGCGAACTCTTCGAACAGAGTTACCCTACTTGTGTGAAAAACAATAAAATCTAAACTAAAAAACTGCTGTTCCTATTCTTCCTCGGAAGAAACGAAAGAGAGCTTTAAAACAAAGACTACAGCGCCATCTAAACCAATGTGAGGACACTTTTTTGGCCGAGTGAACTATCTTGTTATGAACGATCTTTGATACCCGACAACAGACCCGAGGGGAGTGAATATCCTGAATCATTGGTTGGCTAGTCAAGCGTTTTCATTGGTCAGAAAGCAGGGGTTTTCATTGGACTAGAAATTTCGTCTTCACTTTCAATTTCAAGTTGCTGATTACCACCAACTCGGTGTTGCTTTATACATGGTTTTTACTAAAATTATGGTGTTATAATGAGTAATGGCATATAAGGAAAAAAATTGGGACCTGGGCACCATGTCGCTATACAGAGAATTTCGTGATATATATAGTATGGCCAACGAGATTAATTCTGGTAGAGAAGAGTTTACTTCATTTTGAACATTTAAAAACTTCATTTCTACTTTTTTGGTGAATATTATGCTCAACTTGTGGGCTTCTCTCTTGGTTGTAGCATAGAGTAGAGAAAATATGGGTGTGATTAGCGGTGTTCTTCAGTTCTGAGATTTTGTGATGTGATGGTATGATGTTCTGAGAATGTGTCATAATTGTTGCTGATGATATTGGATATAAATATAATGTATTGGGAATGACTTTTGTTCAGAGGTTGATTTGATCCCAGTGTGGGGAAGATGCTTCTATATTATCTCAGTGTTACTGCAAGAATGTTCTGTCACAACCTCAAGGGGTAAACCTCCCCCCCCCCCTCCCCCTCTTTCCCTCTTTTCCCCCTGGCAGGCAGGGCTGAAGCAGCATGCCTCTTAATTAAATTATATTATCTAAATTACATGAATTGTGGATGTAATAAAAATACGACAATAATGAGCTCAAATGGAACTGCGATAATACACTGTGTGTGAAGGCCTTAACAAACATCTGTTTTGTATTCTTGTTTCATGCATAGCTTTTAGAGGAAAGGGGGTTGGGGAGGGCGGGAGCAGCTTTTTCTATCCCTCCCCTCCCCTAAGTATTCATTTACACCCTAAGATATTTTCTGTTGATGAGACAACATGGTGGTTTACAGCCATGGTCTAGAAGATCATACTACATTTTTTATCCCTCTTTTACTTGTCTGTTATTGTGGTTCTACCTCACACTCTTCTACTGTTTGTGGTGGTGATATGGTTCTCTTAAAGCAGAAATTTTACTTTTCAGAGAGAATTAAGTTGTGTAAACAAGTTTCATTTCAACTATACATGTATGTAATAACTAATTGGTTCACATTCATTAATCAGTTTTGTTTATGATTTATGATCAATTGTTATACTTTTTGTGTTTGTGGTAAACATTAGTCTTACAGAAGTATGCTTGTTTTTGCAAAAATATCTATTTTTAAATAGATGTATAAAGCTGTAATTGCAGCTTTTTCTATCTCTCCTCTCCCGTAAGTATTCATTTACACCCTAAGATATTTTCTGTTGATGAGACAACATGGTGGTTTACAGTCATGGTCTAGAAGATCATACTACATTTTTTATCCCTCTTTTACTTGTCTGTTATTGTGGTTCTACCTCACACTCTTCTACTGTTTGTTGTGGTGATATGGTTCTCTTAAAGCAGAATTTTACTTTTCAGAGAGAATTAAGTTGTGTAAACAAGTTTCATTTCAACTATACATGTATGTAATAACTAATTGGTTCACATTAATCAGTTTTGTTTATGATTTATGATCAATTGTCATACATTTTGTGTTTGTGGTAAACATTACACTTACAGACAGAAGTGCTTGTTTTTGCCAAAATATGATCTATTTTAAAATATATATAAAAAGCTGTAATTGTTTTGTAATTATGCAATTGACTTCTGCTGTAGGGTGATTACTTTATAACCTGTAGCTCATGCAAAAGCTATGTCTTTTGATGATAAAGTACGCACATGAAGTATATCATTCATGTCACATCTATTAAATGTCACAAATTTGTCATTTGCAATTTTATGTAGTCTGTTTTGATGACTTTGCAGAACTCGAAATAATATGAAAACAGCAGACAGATTTCCCGCTATCATTATCATTGAGGTGACAGAATTCAGATGCTGTTTTTAGCTAAGGGGAAGAGTATTTTATCTTTTTAGCAGCAAGAGACAATGTGTGCACAAAACGACAACTGTCTCTCTTGAGACAAGTCAAAGTAATTTTACACCAATCATGCAAATATATCTACAGTTCTGAAGCAGCCTTTCACTTTTTGTTATAATA